GACTACGGTGGGGGCGTTTGCGAAGGGCCGTGCCCCAGAGGCCTCAGACCCTGGAGGACTCCTTCCGCAGGCCTAGAGGTTGACACCAACGCCCATGTCCGCGGCGTGCCTCCACCGAGGGCAGAAGATCCCGATCTCGGCGATGGTGGCAATGTTCTGGCTTCCAAGGTGACCGAAAAATCACCACCAACACCGAAATCCAGGATCATCTTCCCCCTGTGGGGGCCGCCCCCCCCCTGTGTTGGCGTCGATGCCAATATCCAGGCCTCCAATCCTTCTCTGATGTGCGCGGCGGTGACGTCCATGACCGAGCGGCTGCTGGTACTCTTCCGGCCTCCAGACCCTGGGTTCCTTGTCCCCGGGTTCCTCAGCCAACGGCTCCACTGTATAGCCCCAAACGGCATACTGAGCCTGCTTTCTCGGAGGCCCGCACGTCTATCCTGGATTTGGGCCCGAACCTCTTGGCGGCGCCGCCCCTGGCGCGTGCCGCGCGCCCGGGGGGGGGGGAGGGAGAAGCGCCGATGCAAGGAGCCCGCGCGGGCCTCCGAGAAGCCAGCTGTGTGCCGATTCTGGGGTCCTCCGCCCTGGTGGTTGTCCTGATCACGCAGTCTGGGCTTGCGGCGACTTGGCTCCGGCTCTACGCCCGTGGCCTGCGCAGCTTCGTCCTCCAGGTTTCAAAGCTCTTGCTGCGTGGGCCGCTTAGATCGTTTGGATCGGCCACGTGTTTCCAAGGCTCTGGGGCGACGCATCGGTTTCATTCAGCTACTCCCCTGCTCCGACAGCCGCCTTTGCTTGTTTGCGTTTACGCGTTCCACGCTGTCAGCACCCGACCGCGTGCTTGTCGCCGAAAGTTTGCTGGGCTTCGAATTTTAGTGTGCGCTCGCTGCTGCGGGCACTGAGAAGCACACCGCTGGCAGACGCAGGGGAAAATGGCAACGACGAGGAGGGAACAAGGAGGAGGTGGAGAGGGAGGAGGAGGGAGAGGAAGGCAGACGAGGGAGGAGGAAGAGAAGGAAGAGGAGGAGGGGGAGGTGGTTGGAGACGGCGGACATTTGTAGGAAAGGGAGGAAGAAGGGAAGATGAACGGGACCAGAGTCAACCCAAGACACATCAACGATGTTGCAAATACAGCCTCCCGTCCCAAGTCCACTCCTCACAGGTCCCTACAAGCCTTCCCGTCCTCTTCAAGGGACTCCCCTATGAAGTGCCAGCACCGCATGGGCTGAACATTCAGGCGAGAGCCCCACTGGGAAATTACTCGACGCGGAGATCCCCATATGTGCATTGCATAGTGATGGCAAGCTTCGGTAGACGACAGTGTCTTTTTCAAATGCCCGAGCGTCAGCGAATCCACGTGGAAAACGAGGCCGACAGAGACGCCGACGACTACTACGACTTCAAAGGAGTTGTTTCCTCCTTCCGTCCTCCTCCTCCTGGTCGTCCTCCTCTTTCTCCTCCTTCCCCGATGGAGACCTGTCAGGAAAATCCACCCGTGAAGACGAGAACGGGCCCGGGCAATACCCCTTGGCGCGAAGGGGAATAGGGTGGTACAATTTTCGCCTTCCCTCCTGGGACGACGACGGATACTATTCTAGAACGCTTGGGGTTGGTGGAGTAGCAAAAGCTAATCGATTGCATGTTGTTTGTTCCTCTGTTTCTCTCGCACGTCGGCTAGTCCCCCCTGGACGATGGCCTCCTCCTCCTCCTTCTCCTCCTCCTCCTCCTTCTCCCCCTCCTCTTCCTCCTCCTCTTCCTCCTCCAAATCCTCCTCTTCCTACTCCTCTTCCTCCTCCGTGCACGGTCGGCGTCGCGTGCTTGTTTCATTGCATGACCGCACGTCCGCCTTCGACCACGGCGAGCCGACATGCTTCCAGATACGACAAAGAAATACGTTTCTGGACTTCTAGATAGACTTCCGACCTCGTCGCCCAACGACTTGCCTCCAATTGAGAGAGCTTGGTTCGTAGGGGGACGGTCGGTTCACCTCGACTGCGAGGCCACTTCCTGCTATCAACCCCTGCCCAAGGTGCTGGCATGCGATACAGGGTTTGCTCCCCAGGAAGAGTGGGCACGACGCCACGGTGGGACTCAGGAGCTACATGGCCCCGCCTTCCAAACGAACGCGCAATCCTCAATGCGTGGTGCCCATGTCCAAGTCATGTGGCGAGCTAAAACGGCGCTACCGCTGGCAAAATGCGGCGTGGCTGGTTCCAGAAAGGCACGGGCCGGTTTACCCGATGGTGTGACGATGGCGGCGATGGACACGAAAGTCAGATAAACAATGGCTGTCACTTCGTGACATCCTCAGCCAACTCTGCCGCGACAGCATCAACAATCACGGCGACGATGCACTTCTTCATGGATGTGATCCTCTGCGCATGCGCATCGTGCACGTGATCGGGCAATTTCGTTTTATTCGGTTTCCGCACATGTGGCAGACTGAGACCGCGGTCCAGCTCGCACCAACGATATTCTTCAGCATCATATCCCATAACCAAACTGGCGATCGCCTTACCTTTTTTCGTGCCTGGAGCAATCCCAGACGTCTGGGCGCAGCCGCTCGCATGGATGGCAAAACGCAGCGCATTGCGCTGGAAGGCATCGGCAGCAAAATCCTGCGACAACACGCTGCGTAGCGTGCCGGCAGATCGCTGCTCCTGCGACGTTCCCTTTTTGCACCGCTTTGCTGCTGCTTCCGCATCACCATCAACGCGCTCTCCCTCAACGGCGTCTGTGACGTCCGTCTTATACATAGTGCACGGGGACAACCGAAATCCCAAATGCAGCATGCCAGGACCAGTTACCTGACGCAGGGTAAAGTCTCCCGCGCGCAAAAAAACCAAAGTATGCATCGAACCACGCGAGATGCAACTCTACTTGATACGCTTGGCACTCGAGGCAACGAAACGGCATATTGGCATATGCCTGCACGATGGTCGCCGGTTGACCCAGCCAGCCCGACAAATTTCCGTACATATACGCAACGACGGCATTTGTTTTGTCGGCTCCTCTGGGGGTGTCTTCAACAGGGGGCGTCTGGTACACCGTCCGAGGATGCGATCCAAGAGTAGCAACGCACAAATGCAAGGCTTTTACAGTCCACTTCTGATCACAATCTTGCAACAAACGCTGTAACATATGAACAAGTTGCCGTCCCGTTGCAAAGCCGTCGGCGGATATGTACTTCAGCGTCGTCTTCTCAGCTCCTTCGCCCGTCATATTTGCATCGGCAGCAACCAGCACAGTGACAAACATGAGAAGGTGCGAACCCTCATTGAGATACCTCCGCATCAAGATCTGGCGGGTTTAAGCAAGCAGGCGAATGATGAACCTTCAGGCTCCCAAATATCTGGTCGCCAGGGAACGATGTCTTTGCCAGAGTCGTTTCGAACAGCTTTTGTGAGTCTTGAGGAGATGAAGCCAGAATGCTTCTCCCCATGATCGTGCATTCGGACATGACCTTCTTGCGTCAAATCGCCATCAGCACCGCAGCACCCCATAGACAACACATGTTTGAATGCACGGTAAATTTTTACAATGGCAAACAGTGGTCTGCCCAGTGGCTCCCATTTTTGTTGTGCAGCGTTCGTGTGCTCGCTTTACGGCAACCATTGCAAGACGCCGCTGGATGCATCTGCAATCCCGCCTGGACCACCATGGCTACGGAGTTCGCGGAGCGTGTTCTGTCGCAGCAGATTGTCTGGAACATTACATCACGTTGCAGACGAACGAAGTTTCAATTTGCATCGCAACAGTGGAAGAACAAGACAATACACATGCGATGGTAGTAGTGGGGTGGAAACAGTGGAGGGAGGGAAGGAGAGCAGGAGAGAACGAGAAGCAGAAGGACAAGCGAAGGTCCCAACCCAGGCATAAGGAACACCTTACCCGAGGGGGAATCAACGGGACCAAAGTTTTCGCATAACATCAAAAAACACTACACATAACACCAAAGTAATCAGAACCACCGTAAACCAAATTAAGGAAACCATCACAAACCAAGGTGGCGCTCACTTGTTTCCGTTTTTGCTTAACGAACCAATGGTTTCTTTTTGGGGGGGGATGTTCTGGGTGTTGTGATTTTCTGTTTTTTTTTCTGGTGTTTCGTTTCCCGGTGGAAAAATCAACGGGACCAGAGCTTCCGCAGAAAATCAAGGGAAAACGGAACATCAGACAAATCATGGAATTCAGTGGAAAAATCTAAGATACCATTGGGTCTGTCCTTCTCTCGATATATATATATATATATAAGAGCGAAGCTAAAAAACAAACATCCCAAACCAATGGTTCGCTTACTTGTGTTTTGATTTTTGAAACCGGTGGTTACTTTGATTGGTTTACTGTTTTTTTCTGATTTGTCCGATTTTCGTTTTTTGTTTCCGGGTGTTTCGTTCCTCGGTGGAAGCAACCCACGGGACCTCGACAACGTTAGTTAGTTTGTTTTGTTTATTTGTTCCCAATGTTCGTTGTCCCGTATGATTCTCGCAATTTTGTGGCACTCTTCCTTATTATCTTCTCCTTCAACCATCTCTCCCTAGAGCTTCCTCCTGCGTTCATCCTGCGTCACCCTACCAAACAAAGAATGCCATTTGAAACGCCCACACCGCGTACCACCCTATTCCCCCTACCCTCCCTGGCGCCCCCCCTGGGAGTGCTGAAGCCAGCGCCCCGCTTGAGACATCCTCGGGAATTGCTTTGAAAAAGAAGGGTGTTGAGCACCCAGACGGGTAAACCGTTTGAGACATCCCCCCAATCTGGGCGCGAACGGGCCTGTGATATACCTCCTGGCGCACC